GCAGTGTTGTAGTCAGCTTGATTGTTATTCTAATGTTTACCTAGCCGATCTTGTTCGTTTTCTTGCAATGGCATTTGGCGTGTATCTAAATAAGCAAAAAATGCAATTTTAAATATAACTTGGAAAATACGTGATGCATTCCCGCTACTTAAAGTACAAAATTAAGATGGAGTCCACAACGCGATATATTTATAAATGGCATAACTATAAGGCAAATAAGTATTATAAGCACATAAATAGCCGTGAGTAATGGGGATTTATTTTAAACAACACAGAAAAATGGCCATTTGGTGGGAAGAGTGTTTGTTACCCTTACAAATCACACCTAGTTCTCTGAACGTATAATGCAAGGTTGGCGCTAGAGGTTATATTTTGCCTAATCGATTGCCAAACCTTGAGACAATATAGCACAATGGAATTCAGGACATCCTTAATGCTGGCCAAAATTATATCATCACACTTAAGGGGGTAAGGTAAGTGCCCATCAATTGCTTACTGCAACTTTCTGGAAATTGCAGCTAAGTATTAATTTTCGCTTGGAAAAATCAGAAACGAAAGCTTCGATTTTTTTGTAAAATTAGTTTTTAATGTCTCACTGTAGCCAAATTTACAAGTAGCCTGCATATACACTGAATACGATGCGCTTGATATAAATGTTCGGAGTTACTTCAGCCTTTTTTGAGCAGTATGTAGGAATATTCGAAATTCCTTCTGTGCGTGACTTAACAAATTGGTATAAAAATTTCCATTTGCTTACCAATTAATGAGACTGTTGATCCGAATAAATCTCTTGTATTTCGGAAACCTGAAAATAGGTTCTTAGTCTTAGTTTTGAGAATAATTATAGATAAATGCAAAATTCATTTTCAATAAACTCCAAAATCTTAATTTCATGTTTTGAAAATGTATACATGTTGAGTTAGCAAATAACATGAAATAAAGCCATCATTTTGAACTGATTAATCGATATATATATATATATATATATATATATATATATATATAACGGAATATATATATATATATATATATATATATATATATATATATAATGATATAATTTTTTAAAGAAAGGCAATGATTAACTTGGACGTTCTCAATAGCTATAATAGTTCCATTCAATCAGAAAATATAAGGTTATGCATTTTGCTATGTCGTCACATTTTCTTTTAGAAGAATGAAAACTTGACAGTAAATTAATTTTTGGTTTCATTTTTTAGAACACGTAAGCAGGTCAACCATAAATGAAAGATGCATATTTCTATCGTTATCCGCGTGATGTAAGCGACGTTAGAATGTCTGTTGGGTATTTGCTACGGCGATATCCGTCACATGGAAAGATCTCCTTCACGAAATTCCCCCCAAAAGGCAAAACTCCGTGTTACAGTTCAACTCGAATTTTGCTTTACTTAAATAACCTAATGTTTTAATTATAATTGAAAGGATTAAAAAGAAAGTAAGATATTCTCCAATCATTAAAAACATGTCTGATGGTTGTTCAAAATTGCATGGTTTATTTGCCTTCCAATAAGCCAAATTAACAAACCCCCAATTTAGGTGTACAGTGGACTGTATAATTCAAAAACTGTTCCCATTAATCTACTCTTTCAACCCATGTATTGCACGATAGCAGTATATTCCTACACAAACTCCTTCTACCTACTATGCATCCTGGCCATCTTCACGACAAACTCTGTTCACATCTGTCTCTCCCAATCTCGAACTCTAACCTGTTTCCGCAGTAGTTTAGATTGAAAGTCAATAGCCAGGTCTTCCAAATCAGAAGCAGATAGTTGCGCAATCTTGCGCCTCATTTTGAATGCAAGTTCTTTCAGAATGAACTTTGAATTCCACAATAGAAATTGCATCTTGGCAATTACCACTTATATTAATTTCGATTTTCAGAAAAGTCGTATCTCTATAGATGGGACAGATAGTTCTTTATTTCACTTTCTTAACTTGAGAAATACTAATTTAAAGTGACTGCACAATAAAAGTAGAGCTCATTTCAATATTGAAGATTAAAGCAACTCTTCTACTGAAAACATTTTCGATTCGCTTTCTTACTACTCTTAATTTGCGCCTTCGTTGGAATTTGAAAAATCGGTTTTCTATCATACGCAATGATAGCCAATGAACATACATCGTTAAGGGGAATATACTTACCAATTCTTGAAGTGTAAAATCCGCGTTCCTGATGACCCCATAAAATTGATTGAAGTGTAGTCCATGAATCTTTGAAAATGAAAAAAAAACGTCAGAAAGAAGGCTATATTTGCTGAGGTATGACAAAATATTCCATGCTTATGATTTATCGGTTTAAGCTAAGCTGATCCGACATCCTCAACGTTAATCTTTCTTTAACTTAACAATTTATTCACATTCGATGGCCTCTGAATCCTCTGACCTTTGGCATTAAATGGATTTTAGTTTAGAAGTCTGAGTGGATGTCTTATGTCTATGGAAGGAGTAAAAAGAACCAAAAATGTTGCTTGACTTTACGGTAACATGAATTTTCCTTGCCAAATAATAATAATTGAACCACACATCATGCCAGATGAGCATGTCGGCAGCATACCGCTCAATGTGTCTGGCTTAGATTTCGCATTTCTCATCAGGAAGGCTCCATGTTGACATATTTCGATGATGAGTCCTCAAAATCTTTCCTATATAGGTTTGAGCGCACTATATAAACCCACAGTAACGTTGGCAATGGACCTAGCATTACGAAAATGCTACTGGATCCGTTTCCTAAAAGACTTCCTTATGATAATGCAAATTCGACATAAATATAGATTTAAGGGTATAGTAAAGAAAACGCTCTACTAAAAATAAAAGCTAACCTTAAAGTAAGAATTATCTAATAAAGCGTACCATGTTCAAATCTGCCAAAACTTCTTACTTGACGTGAACTATATGGTGAATAGTAGTTTCTTCTATTTGAAAGTTCTAAAAGAGACAATACAATAACAAAAACCAGAACTAAACAGACGTCAAAATTTTGATAGATAGGAATAACTTTGAAATTAAGATTCCAAAATATAAGGCATTTAATACACTCACCAGTTGATGATGTCGATGGAGAATCGAAAAGAGATACATTATTTACATCATTATGGTTGGACATCTCCCCTAAATGAAAGTATAAATTAGGGGAATCAAATAACTGCTAACGTTGTTAAGATTCAGTACCTTATTCCTTTTTGATTTCTTGTAAAATTGAGTAATGTGAATCTTAATCTCATTCTTTAGGATTGAAGATTAGGAATTATGGAGCAAAGTTCTCTAATATCTCTTCACTTACATGATTAAATTTTAAATAATGAAAACTCGGAAATCAATGACATTTTTCTCTTTAAAGAGGAACACTTAGCTTGATTTACTAATTTCTTGAGCGAAGCCCCATAACTAAACGTCTCAATAGGGAAGGTCGACTTATGCTTCCGCTACGAATTTTTGCAATATTAAATTGGCTATCACATGGTGAAAGAGGTTTTTCCACTTTTGAAATCGTCAATCAGCTTCGATTTTACCCATCCTCTGAGGTATGGGGAAAATATCTTACCAAATCGGTAAAAGTTTAAATTTTTCTCTCCATGATTTCTCAAATCTTTCAAAATACTATTCCCAATTTCTTTCATCTCAAAAGTATGCCATGTACATGCCTAATGAACCGATCGTTTCATCAGAATACTAATTGAGAAAATTGTTATTGGTAAAAAGGTTGATCATTTCCACTGTTTAGTTTAATCACATATGGGACTCTTTCACAAACATCAAGTGATATGGTGGGCACAGAAGTAGAAATTATAGTTTTAAGAAGGGTAGAAAATATGTGGAAAATGTTTCGTAATTACAACCTTATAAACAAAATTTGTAACAGTTGCAGATATATTTTATCAACAAACTTAAAGCCTCGCCAATGCTCGTTTACAACATTTGCATGACATTTTGCGATAACTTATAGTACTGATTAACTTTGAAATTGGAAATGCCAAAAAGATGGGAGAAAGTGAAGATTTCAAGCTATTTGCCTTAATCGATAAAAGCTACATGTGATCTGAGAGTCAAAATGCCTCGCATTCTAGCTTCCTCATTGATTCATTGAGTAAAATAACAAACTCCTACACCGAAAAATTACCAAGTCAGATCTATATTCAAAGCAAAATGAGCTGCATTTATACAAATATAACCATATTCGACATATAAATATAAGTACTGAAAATAAGGTTATCACATCCAGTTGAAAAAGATTGAGTCCTAAATTCTAACGAAAACCAGATCTTCCACCTGAATGCTACTATTTCTATCCAAATCTAGCCTGATTTTCTTATGCTCGCTATGGATGCACCTCCACCCACATTCTTATACGCTTTTGATTTCTCTCCCACTTTTCCTTAACTAATGGGCCTCTATAATTTATCGTTCCTTAATAATAATACAAAAATTAGTTCTAAGTTTGCTGACTTGTAGTCAGGATACACTAGCACATATTTTCTTAGCTCTTGATGAATAATCACATTCGTAGGGTTGGGGTTTTCCATTCTTCAACATTAGTTAAGTAATTTGACTTCGGGCAATACGATATTGATCTAGGTAAAGATATAATTTGGCAAGCAGGTTCCTTTTGTTTTTAAATGCCGCATAAATAGCGACCCTATTGCTAAAATACTTACGTGTCGAAATCATAAGTACTTATATAAATATTAGAAGAGTTTCACTTACTAATTGTTACCGCCTAATTGTCTCTGTTTATATATATAGACGCATATCTCAAAAACAACACAAATAAACCTTTTTTGAATTTTTAAAAGGACAGTAAAGTGGAAAGATGCATGAATTACTTTATAAAATCTTTTATTTGAAGGTCAAGTAACTAATCTACCACCAAAGGTAACAATTCGACCTTATCAGATGTCAGCCTATTACTAAATCTAGTCACAGACTCACTTGTTTATGCTGTTTTGATAGATAGTCGAGATTTATAAACTTATGTTAAAATGCTTTTCCCCATAATAGGGCATAATCTTATTCGATTAGGCCAATTTTCAGGAGGACTTCGTTTACTTTCAAAAGCCACTTCCAGACAGTTCTCATTAAATGTTGTTCGCTCATTATTTCCTCAAAGAGCCCCTGTTCGATGGCTAAGAAAGGACACAAAGTCATTTAAACCTAAAGAATCTGATCCTGCACCTCAATCGCAGAAGCCAAATGGCAATGGAAATTCTAGCCGCCATCCTTGGCTACCAGGAATGGCAATATTCTTTGCATTCTCAACTGGCTTATCAATTGCTATTACCTACTACTTCTCTCGAATCGCAAAACCTACTGAAGTCTCATATAGAGTTTTTGAAGAGCTCCTTGCGCGAGGTGAGGTTCGCAGCATTAAAGTTTCACAGAGCCGTGACGTGGCTTTGATTCTACTTCATTCACCTCAAATGATTGATGGAAGAGGTGTCTTTGTAAGTTTAATGCAAGATGAAGCTTTTGAATTTTCATGCATCTAATTTGAGTTGAACTTTTCGTCCATGCTAGGTAATTAGTGTACCACTTAGAAACGAAACTGCTCTTGATTTCGAGAAGCGAGTTCGAGAATTCGAGTCCAAGATTGGAATTCAAAAAACCGATCAAATACCTCTTACAATCAGGTAGATTCCTGACTCTATCATAAAAGCTTATACCTTTATTAAGTAAATGATTTTAAAAGTGTCTATTTTGCAGTCATGAAATGAAATCCAATGATATGTTATTGACCGCAATTCTCACCTCAGCTATACTAGCTACTGTTGCGGTGATTTGGATTCGTAAGAATGTCCCACCCAATTTACCACCAATTGAAGCGATTTCTGCTGCTATTCAAAAATTGGCATATAAAGGGAGCAAACCACAGTTTAAGGAACCTAAAGCGGCGTCGAAAGATCAAATGCCACGATCACCTCCCCCACCGAAAGATGAGCCGAATGTCGGAGGTAATTACTCTGGCGGATTCGGCAGTGGAATGCCTTTCTTAGATGGCCTTCCAGGAATGGGAGAGCCACAACCCATCACCACTGATGTTACATTTAATGTGAGTCCTTAATTCAACTTTGCGGGTTTTGTTGCTCTTTATTATATGTTCGGAATACTTTCTAAGTCTATTACAAGCAGATATAAGCATCAAAGAACAAATAAACATCAACAAAATCCGAATTATTCTAGGATAGTTTTCATCAGTCTTCTTCATTACTTGGTAAGCGTTTGCCTTATTACTGGAGGTGTGACTAATTTTTTTAAGCTTCCGCTTCAGGTAGTGTTTTATATTATGATTTTTTGAAAAGATGAGTTTTCCGAGCACGCTATTCAATTGCCTTTCTTCTTATTCTCTTTCCACATGTATTTATTTGTAAATTTAGGTTAATTCAAATCGGAGTCAAGTATTTACTGTATTTACTGGTATAATTTATGTGAAACGGCGAACGGTCGTTGTAGTAGATAAAAGACCTGGATAGATCATCTAGTATAGTCTTGGCGATTTTATCTTGCGGATTGATAAGGATTCCGGTAACTGAAGACTATCTAGAAATCCTTAATTTCGACCGTGGAAGTTGTCCTATTCCTGACTATTTCATTTTTGCAATTCTTTCTTCTTATTCATCAATATTATCGTTCTTTGAGCTAACTTTCATCTTTCATTGCCACATTAGGACGTTGCAGGCATGCATGCAGCCAAGCAGGAGGTAATGGAGTTTGTGACCTACCTCAAGAATCCAGCCAAGTTCCGAGAATTGGGCGCAAATTTGCCCAAGGGAGCTCTGCTTTTGGGTCCCCCTGGAACTGGTAAGACCCTCTTGGTGAAGGCGCTGGCACATGAAGCGGAAGTACCCTTCTTTTCTGCTGCTGGATCAGAATTCATTGAGGTTATTGGTGGTCTAGGAGCCTCAAGAATCAGGAAACTTTTTACTGCAGCTCGCCAAAAATCTCCCGCGATTATTTTTATCGACGAAATCGATTCGGTGGGTCGCAGAAGGTCAGCTACTGGGTAAGTCATCTTCCATTTACTATTTAAAATTGTAGCCTGTTACTGTCTTATCTTTATGTACTTTCTTCCTAATTCTCTTTACTTTATTGAAATCTTTTCGTGAATGTAATGAGTTTTGGTTTTGCTAGTTTGTAAACTCAGCCTTTATAATAGTGATGTTAGATTTCCATACTATCTTGATATAATCCAGCTGCAATTTTACGCAAACTTTGTAGGTGAAAACTGATGTTGTTTGATAATATGTAGGATTGTTATGATTACTATAACTTGAGGGATTTTTCGTTTTCAATTTTTGTCAAGGGCTTCTTTGACTTCCGTGTAGTCACCTTGCTGGCCTATTCACCTTCTAAATCAGTAATTACAGACCTTATTATCAAATGTTGAGTTGGGTGGCCACTTGCCCTTCGTTCGCATAGCGTTTGACTTTCATGGTTTGTACTTTTACCTGAAAGTTGGATATGCCCGTTTGCGTGTATATTTTATATTCTTTAACTTCAATTTGTCGTTTGTTTCTATTGTATTCCTTCTATCTGTTTAAGTGTTCGCTTTTACCTTCCAATCCTGTTTAAAAATGGTCATTGAGCTTCTCTGATTAGAATCTCGAATTCTGTTGTTGCCTTTTCTACCCTGGATGCCGCTGATTATTCTTCTGTGGCATTACAAACAAACTCTTTTGCACCTCTCTCGCCAACTCACGCCAACTACATATGTATGCACAAACGCATTTTTCCGTTATTAATGGTCTTAATTTTTTAAGGTTCTAACTCCTTTCTTTAGTTTCTTTTGCCAATCAAGCCAATTTGCTTGAAATGTCCAGTACATGTTTCGGGTGTTTTATATTGTCTCACTGAAGAAATGCCAGCTCATGTTTGGACAGTATTTTGATGACCTTATTCTGATCAATCAGCCTAGCCAACTGGTGAAGCACTGAATGTTATTTTGCTTGTTTCACCATTTCAGACCGGGTGGGGGTGGTGGTGGCGCCCAAGAAATGGAACAAACCTTAAATCAACTCTTGGTCGAAATGGACGGTATGGACACAACTGAAGGAACCATTGTCTTTGCTGCCACTAATCGAGCTGATCTGCTGGATAAGGCATTGCTTCGTGCTGGTCGTTTCGATCGTCACATTTTCATCGATCTGCCCAATAAAGCTGAACGCAAAGAGCTTCTTGATATGTATCTCTGTAAGCTTCTACCGATTTCCATTAAAGCGTTGTACTTAAATGACTTCGGTAGCTGTGCAATTTTGTCGCTTTTGATTTAGCTAAGTATAAGCTGTCGAAAAGTATTGATGTGCCGGCTTTGAGAGACCGTCTCGCCTTATGGACATCGGGGATGTCTGGGGCAGATATTGTGCGTTTGTGTAATGAAGCAGCTCTCATCGCCGCTAGGCGGGAGAATACAGACGATGGAGTTCAAATCGCAGACTTTGACAGTGCTCTCGAGCGCATTCTTGCAGGCAAGCAACTTTTTCTGCTTATTGGCTCTCAGTAAAAATAGTAGGGTTTTCTTTGCTGAAAGGATTAATATAGGGGTATGCCGGTTGTCGAAACTTATTCCCCTATATAAGCTTTAGGGTTGCCCCTACCTAAATGCGTCGATTATTTGAGTTGATTGAAATGCCAATGATTGATCCTATCTGTTATTGGCAGATTATAAGGGGTTTACGAGCCACATCTGGTTTATAGTACCAGTACATTGTTAGAAGTCATTGTTATTATTAAGCTTGCGTAACAAAATGTAGGAACGAATAAGCAGAAGTTTCCGAAGGTAGAGTACAACATTGTGTAGACCAACTTGTATTGAATAAGCCAGAATGATGAATCGAGCAAGCGAGTCAGGCAAGAGGAGATGACTACATATGGGCGGATAAGACAGGCATGTGTATGTGTGTGCGTGTGTCGAAAATAAAAGGACCGTTTTTATGAAGACACGTGAGGTTATGACTGTGGTGTAATTTTGAATGCAACGGAATAATTATTGAAAAGTGGAGTCCATAAACTCGTCTAGATATAGCAGATGTGGGTGCTTTAGTCCTAGGGGCATAATTTCATGGGCATGCCATGGATCTAAGAGTAATTTTTGAAAATGCGTAATCATCCTTCAATTGTTGCGATATTTTCGCCGAAACCTGGAAGTGTTGAAAACTCCCGATAATGCTTTTTAACAGCGCTTTTTCTAGCCTTGGAAATGAGAGTTATCATTCTCCATTATCAACTTTAAACTGTGTTGACAGGTTTTTCGAGAGTAATCCTTAAAAGAGAATGGAATTGTTGGGTATATACAGGTGATTGTTCGTGACTGATGAATGTACATTCGGTTCTACTAAAAATGAGCCAATGGTTATGGTTTGAGTCTTAAAACAATGAACTAATTTTTCAAGTGTAATAGCACTGCATTTTCACCCCTACCTCTCTAAATACCTCCTACTTTCCGACACTTGTTTTATTACCTCTCTAATATTGGGCATAAGCAATTTGCAGATCATTTACAGCATCATAGTTCTCTTCATGTAAACAAATTTTTTTGGACATGATTTATCTCCATTTTGCTCTATCTTATTCGCGGTGGAGCATCTCTCTCGAGCTTAATGTGATGGGATTGTCGCATCCTTAGTCCTAATCATATCATATTAATTAGGCAATTCCATCTACTCTATATTATTATTATTATTATTATATGTCCATTTAAGCTCATTCTTCATTGGAGTTGAGTTAATTTCTCTACTCCCTCTTTCATTTTCTGCCTTCGTAACATTAAGTACTATGCCAATTTTCTGCTAAGCGAAATGAATTTATTTTGACGCACTTTGGTAAACATGGCTGTTGCCTTTATACTGAAAGGAATGCCCTAGTTTAGAACAGTATTCTAATTGTTATGACGACCGCAACATGAAATGTTGTTGGAATATTTTGATTTACGCAACTATATTTTGGCATGCTAGGAGCCGCGAAACGTTCAGGTGCCCCATCTCAACCGGAACGTCGTGTGGCTGCTGTGATGGAGGCTGGGCGTGCGTTGGTAGCCTCTTTGCTTCCTTCCACCGGGCTAACCCCCTTCCGAGTCTCCATAGTACCTCGTGTCTCCTCTGGTGATGCCGATCCATCAGGTGGGGGTTCTCTCGGGTTCACTCAGTTCCTTCCAGAAGAGCGGTACCTTCTCAACTCCGACGACATGGCCGACCGACTCACTGTGCTTGTCGCTGGGCGAGCCGCCGAGGAATTCGTATTCAAGGCTTCATCTGATGGTTAGACTGAATCTCCGACCTCCTGTGCTTTTGTCATATTTTGTTTATTTTTGTTTGTTTCTCATCCTTTCCGCAGCCTCAGAACGACTTTTGAAGAAAGCGACCGAATTAGCTTACAAGGAAGTTCGTGAATGGGGCATGTCTACTGTGGTTGGTAATCTCAGCTTTGGTGTAAGTTTCTTAATATTTAAATCTTTTGCAGTCGTTAAAATTGTAGTCTCAAAGACCACAAGGTCTATTTGAGCTAACACCTTCCAAATTTCTTTTGATATTCGCACCGCAAGAGGTAGAGGAAAGGGAATTGTAGCCCTGCGCTGTGCAGTTTCAAGAAAATGAAGAATTTTTTGGCTTCCCACACTGGGCAGGAACGTTTAAGCCACAGTATAGCGAGGGAATTTATTATCTTTTCGAATGCACCACTGTGGATAACTTGAATTCAAGCCCTCTTTGGAATTTATAAATTTTAATTTGAGTCTTGAATAGGTGATTACAGTTTAATTAAAGTTTTGGTAATGTCTGTTGGACAACGATATTAAAGTACTAGGCAGAAATTTCTATTTGGATATTGAAATCAAAAGTCCAGAATGGATGAAAGTGTTTAACGCTATTCGTATTTAGCTTAAATGTATATTACTTGCAAAACTCTACTGGGATATGCATATTGCCCAATATACATTTTACTGGATGGGAAAGGACCGCCATTTAAGTAGTTTAGACCCGGAACAGGGGAGAATTCCCTTTAGCTTTCATAATGCTGATTGTTTATGACGAACTGCGATACTGAGAGACTGAACACCAACAAGATATACATGTTACGTCAGAAGTGTAGAGAGAACGCTAATCTTGTAAATTTTTGATTAAGAAACGCTAATCTTGTAAAGCTTGGAGTTTACTGTTATGCCTGTAATTAATGGAACGAGTTAAGCATTGAATGACGGGCAAAAAATTAGCGCGTGTGAAAACTGAGATGAAAGTTAAGTGCGGGTAGAGGACAGGTTGCCCGCTTTTGCTGATCAATGGGCTTTCTCTTTCATGAAAATGGTATACATATAATAACCAGAAAAATAGATGCCTAACTAATGAAATGGTCGGACTTTTGCTATTGGACTCCAATTACATCGGAATAAATACGACCTGTTCAGGGCTATTCATTACTTTAGACAAATAATTGCTTAATTAAACGTTAATTTTAAACGTAAAAAGGAAAAAAAGCATAAAATGAAGTATAATATTGCTAGGGAAACAAGCGCTGAGTGTTGTGGGCGCTATTGTTGTTTGCTTGAGTATAACTGTTAGATGGAAATAGTTTGGGAAAGGAACAGGTGGACATTTCGATGAAATTGGGCATTTTTGCCTTTTGCAGTCGTTTGAAGAATCTTTCACTCCATCTGATGTCAATGTTACAAACAACTTTCTAATACTTGTCCCTTCAACTGTCAGCTGTCCTTTAGTAGGACCGCGAACATTCCTGTAAAGTGTGCTACTTTACTTTTTGCTTAAAGTCAGATTTCTTTTTAGCTTTAGGAAATTGTGAAACAGAAAGTGATGTTACCGGTTTTGGCCATGATAGCCTTGTCTAACTAGTGACTTTCTTGAAACACTGATCACTTATTTAAATATGCCTGATATTTCATTGTAGAATCCTTCACAGAATCCCTACAGTGTAGAGCCCTATAGCAAGAAAACAGCAGCTCTAATTGACAGTGAAGTACAACGACTGGTAAATGAGGCCTTTCGACGCGCCGTGAAACTCATTCGAGAGAATGAGCCAAAGTTGCGACGTATAGTAGATACTCTTTTAGAGAAGGAGGTTCTCTCTGCTGATGAGTTGAAGGCCATCGTGGGGAATGTGGCGTCTGGTACCAATGCCTCCGTGTAGATTCTGCTCGACTTTTCTTCTCCATTTGTACTCTGTCTCTTTTGTGTAATTAAGATACGATTTACCTTTTACTTTCCGAAATCCTTTTTCTTTACTAAAGGGAAAAGTTTTGTTAGCTTGGGAGAAAATGTGCTGGTAGCCTTAGCTTGGTCAAACCGATATGTATTGACGTGTTTATGTTGGCTAAACATTTAAGGAAGTCAATGGTTCCATAGCTTGTTTTATCATGTTTTTAACGGTTTGGCGACCACGCGTGAAATCCCCAGAATACCAAGGGACAAGACGCCTTCATTAAACCACATCTTTGTATCTTCTCAAGTCACGGTCTTGGAGATAGAAGCGAACGACTTATGAGGGCCAATAAAATTCTGAAACTTGGTTGTCTGAGCGTCATGTCTTACGAAATTGAGTCTTGACCAACGTTATGGGACCTCGCATTTCAAAAATTTGACCAAAATCCTGCTGCAATATTGGTTTTTTCAAATTTTATGTCAGAACTGAAATAATTGTCTCGTTTCCCTTACTACTTCGAAAGCTTCTCCTCTCGATTTCCCATTCACCGGAATCCGCTTTTCTTAAGCCCGCTGGGATATGAAGGAATGTCCAAGTCCTCTTCCCTACATTACCTCTGTCAATCCTCGTTTTTAGTTGTTGTTTGAATTGCAAAGCAGCATAGGTCTAGCCAGAGCTAATCTGTAAAGCCAAAACAGCTGAAAATAAACATGTTTATAGGACTTATTTAAGGGGTATGCATTGACGATTAAGTTTCTGCGTATTTAAGGCGCATATAAGTCGCGAGAAACTAAAATAACACGCGATTATTGGCAAATAGTCCCAAGTTCGCATGGACTTGTAGCAGATCAGGACTCAGTAGTTCTGAATTTCTTCACCCACTTAAATTGTTATCAGTATTTATCTGAAAAGAGTAATCTGAGTTCCCAGCGTCCAGGTGTTTGTCGATCTCCAATATTGCCTAGCCGGGGTGTGCGAAAGACTTACCTCAACGTGGTACACCTTGGGCAACGTATACTCATACGGCAAAAAAGTATATCAACCGGCAGTTGACTTCTGGCTTCAAACTACCATGACCCCACTGTATGTCATTTGCGACCACTTCCACAGTACTCATCCTACCTTTTCTCTGCCTTTGTGTCTTTCTCTTTTACATCTGTGAATCGCTCTTCTGTTCCCCACCCCTCGACTTCCAGTTACTTTGATGTTCCTTCCCCCTGTGAAGCCCGAAGTCAGCTAAATGGCTAACGATAACTATCAAAACGCCTGCCATTTGAAATAAGTATATAAATATTGTCTAACCGCGTGCAACACTCCTTTTACCTATAGTCCCAACTTCTTGCCACAGCTCTGCAATGTCAAGAATCTGATGCTTAAACTTACTCCGCCTCCCGTTTTCCTTCTCGCACCCTATTATTAAATTGCTTAATGGTCCTTCAAATGGGAATGCAAACGCTATCTCAAATTCCTCATTTCCATTTTGTCAACGTGCACCAATTGTTGTCGGCGTAAGGATAACTTTCAGACTTAGCATGACGGAATGAAGGAGGGCATAAGGGCCAATGGGAGTAAATACACTAGAAAGGTAGGTTAGGTAGGCAATAAAACAAAGCCCAACCTTGCAGATTGGCTGATTATCACGAAAGCATCAATTCTCACAGGTTGTCTCTAGGTAGTACATCAACCCTGTCAATATGTTGCTCCTGACAGCAACCATCTGCGGGTGGTTCAGTCCCCATACTTCAAAAATATTAACACATATTTGCATAGAAACCCCTCTCAGTTAAAGTGGAATAAAGTGACTACTTTCTGTAATGAACTACTGCTAGTTTTAGAACCAAGACAACCGTAACCTGACGAAATATAGTGGGGAGGTAGATCCCGTTCCTCCAAGGATCACTACAGCACGAAAGATTTAAAGCTCACAAACAACTCGGAATAATAAATTCCCCCCCCCCCCACCCCTCTCAAACTGTGGGTGATTATAATTTAATATAAATTAGAACCTAGTTTGCTACTGTTCCTCTGTATTTTAATGTTTGTCCCTTTATTGATCAGTGTATGCGCCATTGGCTTGAGAGACCCCCAATTCCTCTGTAGAAACGCGCCTAAGCAGTTAAAATACATTTGATGAATTCCAGTTTTCGTTCTCTAGCTTGAGCTATGGTTCAGCCACGTCTTTTATTTCCACAACTCCTCTCAAGAGTCTACCTTTTTAAAGCGTTGCTAAACTTGTTAGACAAAAACCACTCCACTGGACAATTTTCCTGGTTGATTTTGAGTTCTTCTGTCATTTATCAAAATGACGTGAAAAATCCGGTCACCCAAATTTGGTGGAAAAAAGGTGAGGTGAGTACTGTGGAAGTGGTCGTAAATGACACATAGTGGGGTCATGGTAGTTTGAAGTCAGAAGTCAACTGCCAGTTAATAGGCTTTTTTGCCGTATGAGTATACGTTGCCCAGGGTGCACCACGTGGAGGTAAGTCTATCGCGCACCACATAAACAGAAGGCAAATCGCGCATTGACACATGCCAGTAAATTAATGACACTAAACGATCAAAATTAAATTTTACTCAAATGACTATTTCGCCCTTCGATTTTGAAGCAAATTCATTAGGCATATTGAGTGACATTCTGATAGATCGTTTTAAACAGAAAATTAAATTTATGCATATTTTTTCAAACAATGAACGGTGACACTAAACCCACACAGGCGATATTAAGCCTTGTAAAGTTGGGAAGAAACGACGAGTGGCATTCGAAATCTGGCGTTCCAAAAATTACCAAATTGCTTCCGAATAAAGATTCCATAACTATAGGTTGTCCTAGTGGAGAACATCAGCCCGATGTCTGCATGAAAAGCATATCGAAGAAAATCAAGATTTCGCCGTATCATGCAATAATTCAAAGAGAATCCGACAGCGGTTTTACAATAATCGATAAAAGTAAATTTGGAACTTATCTCAACTACGTTCGAGTAAAAGGCAGAATGCGACTCGAAAATGGTGATATCATCTGCTTTGGTTGTGCCAAGGGATTTCGAATTAGACCCGGTCAAGAAATCGACAAGAAATCATCCGACCTGAAGTATATGGTGAGTAAATACCTAAAACTTACAGTAATAATTTAAAATTCGTTCTTTATTGCAAAAATACAATGATCTCTGAAATTGTTTATTTAGTGAATATTTCCCTTAAGTTAAGAGGGAGAGAGAGAGATTCGATGGATCTATTCAGTAAAATATTTTCGAAGTGGATGTTCGCAACGCACCAAAACACAACTGGTCTGTAGCGGATTGCCACTTTATTAAAGCCTGACTGACTCAG